TTCCAATTATTTTCAGAAACATTTTATTTCAAATTTATTATTCACCATTATTCTAGAAGATTAAAAAAATTTTTAAACTGTAATAAATAATTGCTATTAAATAAACTCTAAAGTTATGAGTACTTGTAAAACGTTATCAAGTCAATTTTTGTAAAAAGAAATGGTTTTGTTTTTAAAAATTTCAAATTATAGTTTACATTTTTAAGTGAAGTTAAGTGTGTTTCTATGATGGCAAAATTAATTTGCTTGCACACTTTTGATTTTCACAGTCACTGACAAATTATGTTTGTAATAAAAGAAGATGTTGTTAAGAAAATGCAAACAATAATAACACACGTACAAGTCTCTAAATGACAAGTTCATTAGCTATAATTAAATAATCAAATTTCGGTAGCATATGCTCGTGAGGTTGCATTAACAAGAAAAAATACATAATTGGTAAAATTTGTACAATTGTAAGGAAGAAAATATAATTTCGAGGATGAATGAGTGAAACTGATCTTAATTAATAGTCAACTTAATTAACGGATAAATAGAGTTAAGAAAGAAACATTTTATGCACTGAAGTCTGAAATGAATACTAATCTGAAGTTTGTCCAATGGTACTAAGACAGTACATTCCAACTAGTTCTGAAAGTAAAAGACTGTAATATTTCAAGTTGTGTTTTCACTTACATGATAAAAAAAAATCAGTCCAGTTGTCTATTTATCAAAATGTAATTTCAGTTATTGATAAAAAATTTATCAAATTTTTGCTAAATTTTATCAAAATATACAAAAAAAAAGTAAACGGACTTTTGATTGCAAAAAAATAGTTGATGCTTATCAGTCAGATATAATAATTTCAGTGATTAGCTACAAAAATAAAACAGAATAACTTCACTGATCAGCTATAAAAATAGCTTAATTTTAGTTAATTTACATAATTTGCACATCACAATGATAAAATATCAACCATTTAAAAAGCTTTCCGACTGTATACTTATTTTAAATCATAATTATCATTTAAACTAATAATTATGGCACTTCTTATCATAACTTATCACTATTTATCTCATATTTAGCGTTAGCAGCAGCTATTTTTGCCATTTATAACCTTTCACTCTTACATATTAGTAATCGAAATCATTTTGTATTACAGTCAGTACAAATTAATATTTTGATGAGTCGTTATCGGTCATGTAAAAAATGTTATCAAATGTCTATTCCGTTCATTTTTTTTGACCTTATAAAAACTTGCTTATTAAAATTTTGTTTTAATTTCAGTTCATTTGTTGAATTTTGGCATGTAGCAACGAAATCCACAATTTTTGGCTCAAATTTACCGAAAACTTTCAATAAAAAGTCATAGCATTGAAAGGGAGGCATAATTTTAAGCAGTTATTTCCATTTATGAATAATTTACTCACAAGTACGAGAGGTTAAAAATCAACATTCCGAAATTTCTCCAACTTTTTGTAACTAAAAATTTGCAAAAGTAAGTTAAAAATGTTACAGCATTTGAAGTTGAAGCATACTTCTTAGAAATCATTCAAATTAATGAACAACTTGGCTGAAAACAATAAATTATTATTACTAAAGTTGTTGAAAATTTTCAATTTTAGAAAGTTTAAAAAATCATTAAATTCATAAAGTTGGGCGAAAACAAAATTTTTTGACGTTAAAAAACAGAGAAAGAAATTGAAAATTTTTTGAAAAAGTAAAAGATCGTAATTATGATTTATTTACTGAAAGTTTTTCCAAATTCTAAAGAATATCTCATCTTGATCTTTTTTTAAGTCTTTTTTTTTATATCTTTAGTAGTAAAAGTCTTGAAAAATTACTTCTACAAATATTGCCTATAAGTAATTGGAGCTTTTGAATGTCATAAATGATTTGATATAATATGATAAGGTTAAGATCAATTTTGATGAATCAATAATAATCTGTGAAAAGTTTGTGCAAGCTCAATTCTGCTGCTTTTGCCACAATTTAGACAAAAACTTTTACGATATTAATTAGTCATTATTGATTTATCATTGAATAGTTGATAAGAGAAGAAAGGCAAGTGTTAGCAATGGGTTGTTGATATTAACCGTAGAAGATAAATGCTCATCCATAAATAAGCCAATTGTTGGAATCGTAAATATTACGAGTTGACAGATCATAGAAACTACACCGAAGGGTTACGTTGAAACTTGCCGCTTGCACTAAAATTTTTCATCTTCAGCCATCTTAATGAAATATAATTGAGGTTAAATCTTGATCAGCTACCTTAATTGCTAAAAATTTTTGGCTAATTAGTAAGGCTAATGCATGACTGCCATTTATTCAAACTGATGGCTTAGAACTAAGTTTAAACTTATTAGTAATTAATTTTTGCACTTTTTTTTTGATGAAAGTAATCAAGATTATGTGCGAAATTAACTTTGTTACCACAATATTCATTATGTACAAAAATTAAGGCAACAATAGGCACCTTAAAGCAATGAGATAACTGACATGTAATGAAAATTTTTATTCCTATTAATTATTAATCTTATTAAATATTTTGAGGAAAACTTAAAATTGATTTGTTTCTGCTGTTCAGATTCTAAAATCATCTCAAGCAAATATTAATTTCAACGTATTATCTGAAGATTTTTAATATCTTTACGAGATTTCGATGTCATTAAGAAATATAAAATTGCGACTGATATTTTCATTATAATACGTGAAAATTTATGATTTGCTAATAATTTCAATTATAACGAAAGATAAAAACTTCTTATTTGTTTTAAAGAATCATCACACTTTGGACGCTTAACTCAAAAGTTGGAATTACTGTTGGAAATAATAACTTTAGTACTGATGTTAGCATTTTTTGAAATTCAACGATATTGAAAATTACACAGCCCTGTCTCTCATATAAAAAACAGTTTTCAAAGTTCTGAAACTTTCATTATCGTTTCTTAATATCTGCTGCCCTTCACCTATATCTCTTGCTTTATGATTAATTTTATAATTTTTTAACAATTTGCATTTTTTAGAAAATTAAAAAAAAATGGTGTAACGAGTTTTAATTGTGTGCTTATCAGCTTTTTTTGATTTAATTGGATTGTTTGTAAAGCAAAAATTATGCGAACTTGTCAGTGGCATTAAATGATATGATCCATTAAAGATTTATAATTTCTCGGTTACTCAAACAAGTAAGATAATCTTCAAAAGCATAATTAAATGGATAATTACTCGATTTTCTGACTTACTTTCATGATATTAAAGCCATAAATACATATATTCATCCTATCTCCAGTTCCACACTAAGAAAAGGCAGGCAAAAGGAAATACTTTTAGCTCAAACCAAATTTTTTGTGAGAAACTTGCAAAATTAAGCAAAAATTATTCCAAAAATATGCTTTTTTTTGTTTATAATTTTATTAAGTTGTTAAATACCATTTTAATAAGCTGAGTGAATAAAGAACTGCATTTCAATTAACTATTGTAATCATAAATTATTTAAATGAAACAAAATTAAATAAAATACTAATACAAGCAAGGACTACTTTACTGTACACAAATATAATTTAATAAATATGCAGGTAGATAGATAGTCTAAATTGCTTAACAAAGCGAACAAATAAACAATCAAAGAAATAGAAGTGATTAACAATAAAGTGAATAGCAAACTGATTAGTCAACGCACAATATAAATAAATGGACAGATAAATGCACAAATAAGACTAGTCTAATTCTAATGAATAATTAGTGATCCAAATAAGAAATTATCGCAATAACTGAATGTATCAATCTACTAATAGCAAAAATAAATCAAAATTGAGTAAGGCAAACTGATTGTCTGCAAGGAAAGTGGGAAAAACTTCTCATATTTACGCACCTTCCACAATATCAAGTTCAAATTTCTGAATTCTTATAATTTTTACTTCAAAGAAAAAAGTAAAAAAAAGGAATCAAGTATATGGAAAAAAAGCAGCTTTCCTATGTTTTTAATTTACGATTATGCAAAGAAAATTATATTTTGCTGTCATATGCAAAGCCTTTCCAAGTTTATAAGGTTTCTCCTTTATGGTTTTTTTCTTTCTCTAGGCAACCTTTCATATCTCAATAAACATGTGACTAATCAGAACTTGTAATAATTGCTGATTAGCTGATTATGCATGTGATGCAGATGCTGTGAATCTAAGATTCCTCAAGTAGATCACTAAAATCCTACAATGACTTTCGAAATTTGCTACACAGAAAATTTGTTACAAAAAATCAAATACTTTCCCAGTCACTCAAAAAGTAAATTTTATTATTGCGTAAAGAAGTCGTATTCTGTTGAATGCATATGATTCTGCCAGTAACAAAGACTATTTATTAATCTACCGCTCGCTGCACAAAAATGATCAAAATCAACTAATGTACATCGTTTGCAAAACAAAATTCTTCATTTTTTAAGACAATCATTTCCTGAAATGAGGTCAAATAAATTAAAATATATTAATCAGCAATGCCATTCAACATAAGACCCAGAAGACAAATTACTGCAAGATGTAAACAAGAGTTCAGATCTACTGAAAGAGATTTCTTAACTAATAAAAATAAAATCGTGTCATGTACTGGTTTTAACATGGAGAAGTCGAATTATTAAGTGTCAATATAAGCAGACTTTTCTCTTGTTAAAAGGTGTGTTAAAATTAACAAACGAACTCTACAGCAATAACAATTTTAATAACAAAAAATCACGTCTATAGAGTTTTACAAAACAAATGTGTGTTCATGAACAAAGAAATGAAAGCTGAAACAAAAACATGAAAAGAATTCTTGATAACGAAGAAACCAACATGATAAGATAAGCCTTTTCCGAGTTATATGAAAACAAATTCACTTAATCTTTTATAGTAAAAGAAGTCAAAAGATAAAATAATCGAGAGAAATACAAATAGCCGAAACTCGAAAAAATGTTAGTAAATAGATTTCAAAACATATGAATTTTTCGAATTCAAGTAAATTATAGTGAGCCATTTTGTTGAAGACGCTTATCATGGAGCACATCGACCAACAAAACGTGGATAAAGACAAACATCACGAATATGATACGTATTAGTCAACCAACAAATGAATCGTTCCAAGCCAAGTCCATATCCACCATGAGGACAAGTGCCATAAATGCGTTGATCCAAATACCAGTAGTATGGTTTCGAATCGATTTTAGCATTTTCAAATGCTTTAGAAAGCTCGTCAGCCTTTGCAAAAAACAAAACTATATTTTAAAAAAAGCGATTAGAAATTAAGAAAACAAAGACCAGAAAACATATACCTTCCAAATTCTCATACTTCCGCCAACAATTTCCCCAACCCCAGGCATGAGAAGATCAACAGATTCTGTTAAATTATTGTCATTTGCATCTCGCTGCATGTAGAACGCCTTGATCCCACTTGGAAAACGATTGAGCAAGATTGGCTTCAACAATTTAAAAATAAAGATATGAAAACCGATAATGATTTCAATAATATCTAGAACACGATAACTTGAGAAATTCATATAATTTTAGAAAATAGTATTAGAAGTAAAATAATAATTCTTTTAAATTAGCTTCAAAATCTATTTCGTTCAGTGAAAAAATGTTTCTATTTACAACTAAATGTGGTTTAAAATACCAACCTTATTAATTGTATCCGTCATAAAACGTTCTGCAGCTTCAGCAATGTCCTCGCCATAACAGAAATCTCTGCCAAATTCGTTTTTAACACCATGTTCCTGTAGCCATTTGATGGCGTCCTTATACTCAAGTTTTAGAAATGGTCGTTCTGGCGGAACAAAGTTCTGAATAGTAAAAAGATATTTTATTTCTTCCAGCCTAATTCAACAGGTTTCAAATTCGAAAAAATAATGAAAAGACTGACTGGATTAATGCGTTCTAGCAATTTTTTACTTTCTTCATCAGCCAATAGGCGATTAACTGTGTCACAAACTAGTTCTTCAATTTTCATCATCAGTTCATCAAAAGTTATGAATGGACATTCTGCTTCAACGTGTGCATATTCCGCAAGATGCCGACGAGTCCGAGACTTTTCAGCTCTTAAAAAAGATTGGTAAATGTCTTGAGTAAATTTATTTGCGTAGAATATGATGATTTACAATCGACAAGAAGGAAATCAACTTCCTACATATCTAACTTTATATCTTTAGGCTTAATTTAAGTGTATGATGTACGAAAACTGCTTCTCAGCCTCGCTTATTTATTTGCATGATTTTTAAGAAATTATTTTTAACTTTTTATTCGTATTAGCATTTTTCTTACTATTATATTACTAATAATAACTGTAACTAGAGAGCCTTTTCTATTAACCACAAAGAACTTCTTAACAATTTACTGATTATGTAATCATAGAGTATAAGATTCAGAAACGAAATACACTGATGGTAGCAATACTGTAATATGAGTTCTATTGAGCTTTAAGTACTTATTAAAAAGTGAAAATTTCTTGCACACAAACCTATATGACTGTGCAATGCAGTAAACGTCACCAAGAGAAGGAATAACAGTTTCCAAATACAGTTGTGATGACTGAGTAAGATAAGACGGTTCTCCAAAATAGTCAAGTCCAAACAACGTTGATCCACCCTCTACCTAGAAAGAAGTTTACGGTACTTTTATTTCTAATAATTTTCAGCACTGGTTTTAGAGAAATGCAAGAAATGCTTGAGAAAATTAAAAAGTTTCCAAAACTTGTAGAGATAAACCTGAGTTTGAACTAATGTTGGAGGCATAATTTCAATATAACCAGCACCATAAAAGTGTTCTCGCATTGCTCGAGTAGCAGCTGCCTTCAAACGTAACAATGCGGCAGCATTTTCACCTCGTATTACCAAATGCCTATTATCTAGCATCTTGTCTACACCTGCTTCCTCATTCAGAACATTGTCAATACCTGAAGAGAACAAATATTTCATCAATCCTTTCCTCGGAAATAAAGTATCATGACTTCATATCGCAATATCTTACAAACAATAATGACATAAAAATAAAGCTGAAAGTCAGAACAGTTAATTAGTAATTCAAACTCTTTAAAATACTTTATTACTGCGATTGAAAATTTATAGTTAAGTTGGTAAAGATCGATCTTAAAAACCCTAATATGATCAATATATATGAACAATTATTTACTTAAAAACCCTAATACTTTGCTTGAAAAGTTTCAACACTACAATTAGACAAAAAGATGAATAAAAAAGTGATAAAAGTAAATGAATAAAACCTCCAGGAGGAGCATTTCCAATTACGCTCCAAAAATCTGCTATTAATTCATGACCACTTGGTGCTTCTTTTCCTTTCGGAACTTCTTTCACCACACCATATATCTCTACAGTGCTCTCCGTATTTAATGTTAGGGCATCATAGGTTTGGCACTGAAATGAATAATGACTTCAAAAAATATTACTTGCTGAAAACAGAGTTACATATAAAATTATTTAAAACAACTACATTCAATGTTTTCATAAGTAAATTTTAATTGTCAAATTTGAAAAATATTAAATGATCACCGTATTATTAAAGTTTCTGTTTCTATATCAATAACATGTTTGCATATAAATTACTCACCAATTTATCTGTGAGCACAGCTTGAAGAAAACCAGTCCCATCCCGCAAGATGAAAAACATTAACGATTTTCCTGAAAGTTGGAAAATATATAATGCCAGTACCAAAACAAAAAAAGCACTAGTTATCTGTAATCTTTTTCAAGATAGCAAAACTATAAACCTACAACAATGCAACAGAATAGACGATAAACATGCCTTGCCTACGTATTCGATGTACCCATGCTTTAATACACACACGTTGATTCCGATAACTGATTAGATTTCGAATTTTCAAACCAAAATGACATGCTAAATTCTGGTTTAGCTCTATGCGTATTTTTTTCGCCTCCTCGAGGGATGCCATAATGCTTTTCTCCAAATCTTGTTCCTAAAATGATAAAAAACAAGCGTATAACTAATAACTGCAAAATAATGTGCAGTATGAATGCTGGATTTTGTTATTAAAGTGATGAAGAACTAATAAAAGTTGAGAGTTCGGAGATTAAATTTAACAAGTACTGCACTTAACTTTTGTCTTCATTAGCCACATTAAACACTGCTAGTAAGTTAATTAGCAAAATTAATTTACTCTTGCAGAAACTTTCTCATTTTTGCGCATTTCCTGTTCAAAACGCTTCTGGTTTTTCTTTAATGCCGTCTTTGAAGCACATTCCCATATCTTCTTTCCATCTTTTTCTGTTCTGATTAAAAAATCCCCTTTCGCTGATTTCGCAATCACCATAGCTTGAAAAAGTGATCTGCAGAAATCACATTCGTGATCATTTTTAATCTTTTACGCGAAAATACCAAACAAGTATTTTAAATGAATTTAAATCATGAGATTCTATTTAATTATTTAAAAAATTTGAATAATACTGGAAAAGCTAACCTTAACGGTTTTAGCTCAGTACCGTCGTTTGAATCATCTCCAGTTTTCGGGCAAACATATAAAGTCATTTTACACACTACTAGCGCAAAAGGCCTCAAAATGGATAATCATAAAAGCAAATGCAATACTAAAAAAATATGCAATAACAGTACGCAAGGGTCACTTAGACAATAAATGTACTAAACTTTGTAGCTTCACTTCTGCAAATACTTTTTTAATGAAGCAAATGCAATACTAAAAAATATTCCTTGAACTTCAACTGCTGCAACAATTAAATTTAGTGACTTTATAAAATAATGGCTACAGACATTGAAAGCTTTTGAAACAATCATGAATAAACCTTACTAGTGATTACTAATAATACTGGAATGATGTGACTGAGATGAAAGCTACTAACAGAGTGCTTCTGCAGAGCTGATTTTATATGAAAACAGTATATCTCTTATCTCTTAGATGCTACAACTTTAAGTTAAATTTATATTTCATTAAGAATTTGAAAGTCTTTAAGTCCAAGCTGCATGCATGCAATATATTCGTCACAGCAAGAAGATTAAATACAGATATGATAGTGCCTTCTAATGCTATCTTCACTGCAAATGACTTTTACATTTCTTTGTTGCATTTTTCGGCAAGAAACTTTATTATGCTCAAATGTTTATTTACGAGCATACACTCATAAACCAAATCATAATAAGTCATCACTATTGTCCAGCTTAAACATAGCTACATATTACCATACTAACTTAAACCCAAAATACACCAGTTACCTCTGATTATCATCCATCATAGTAAGCACAGCAAAGAATGCTGCTGCTTTTAACGGCCTTATTCTCAAGCAGTAGCGATATGCAATTGCTTTTTCATAAAATTTTACCTTTTGAATAATACATTTAAGCAACTTGCATGCATTAATTAATTAAGTAAGTAAATCCCTTGTCCTAAATTTAGGAAGTATAACGAACAAATAATTGCTTGCAATACAAAACTTTCTTATTTTTCAAAACATTTGTGGGAAAGAATTGGTTAGACTTTTATAGTTTTGAAAGCATTAACACTCGAATGCTTCTACCCTGTTATGCCTTCCTTGTGCATACTAAAAGGCATACTCTTCAAAAATACGCTCACTAATTTTATCAGTTTTTATCACAGGGATAGTTATGGACAAGCATCGAACATCAGTGCTTGCTGATAACTTTATTCAAAAATGTCATAACGATCGTAATCGTTACACGCATTCAATCATAAATTGCGATTTCAAGAATGTATTAGTCTAAAATGTAACATCAAAACAAGGTATTATTGTTCGTAGTATATAGTGTGATTATCTGTATTGTATTTAAAGCTTTATATTATGCATACTTTCCTCGAGTTATTACTGCAGGCTTAAACAGCAAAAAATATATTACAAATTTGAGCAGAGCAATTAATCAAAAGTATATTACTGTAAAGTTTGAGATATCTTTACCAGAAGCATTGTCATCAGTCAGAGGCACATAATGCTGCGAAGTTTTACATATAAGTATTTGTTTGTTTTGCAAGCACTACTGCTCTGTTCAAAGTAATGTGAATGAACTGCACGTGTGGATTATTGATGTAACTCGTCGTCTTGACTTAGTCTAAAAGTCTTAGTGATAAAAATTTGTAAAAACTACTGCACAAAAAAGGAATATTCTAGAAACTGTAATGAAGATTGATTGATTTTTTTTGGATTTAATGAAGTGTTAGTAAAAATAAGCGGAAAAATACAAATCTGTGATGTAAAAGGTTTGAAAAATGCATAAAACACACATCATCAAAAGTGGCATTAGTACTTTTGCTAAGAACAGGAAAACGTCACTTTTTATTGGCTAAAAATTGCATAGCATAGCATCGATTGCTAAATCAATACGTACTTAACTTAGCTAGGCCTGGATAAAGCAAGACGTCAAGGCCTAGAAGATGAAGTAAGGCTAAGGCTTAGCGAGAACTCACATTGCTGTGTCAGTCTGCTTCATTTGGCGTAATGTATTAGTGATGTTGAAGTCATCATTTTTAGCCAGTTTTTCTTCCAGTAAGTTAGCATGTTTCAGTAAATAATGTACATAAAATTAATGGCTTATTTGAAAAGCTAATAAATGGTTAGATTAATAAACTTCATCCAAATGTAAAACAAACAAGACAAATTTCCAGACTTTTGCACAAAACTTTTCACTTTTCGTACGTTTTTTTCACTTCTCGAAGTAAAAATATTGCAGTACGGTTTGAGATAGCGAAAATTGCTTTTGTTGCCATAAAATAAGATGCAAATATCAATTTTTTAAATTCTTTTAAGACTTAATTAGATGAGTAATTAATTTTGTTAAGCATTACGCTGTTAACATACTTTTGCACAGTTAGCACAAAAAAATGCAAGAATCAAATTCACTTTTCAGTAAAATGTTTGTATTATTTTGTTTCATTTTGACAAATAATAACTGCTAATTTTTAATTGTTTATATATATGTGTATTATTTTAATTGTTTATAATTGCTAATTTTGTTGCAGTATAAAGCCAAGTCTGGTTATAATACTTTTAGAGCACTGTAAGAATAAAAACAAATATAAAATGCTAGTTAAAGTTAGTAAAGTCTAATACATATTTTTACTGAATGAATTTTTTAAAATATTTAATGCATGCGATTATTTTTTTGAAGATGTAATTGTCTTTACGATATGTGGCTCAGTTGGTTTTATCTTACTAGCCATTGCATCAGCATGCATAATTCGTCGTCAAAAATATCCAAATGTCAAAAAGCTAAATGGATTGATTGAACCGCGCACCACTGTTGCTCTTAAATATAACAACGGGAAAAGTCCTGGAGGTTTAAAAAATTCCCCATCATCACTTCCATCTCCTCTCACCTCGGATAGCTCATCTTCCAGTCCAATGTTGTCAACACGACCGCTTATTGTCTCACCACAACAACAATCATTTAATCGAATTTCCCCTTCACAATTGGGATCTGATCGAGGATTTATCAACTTTACTCTTAATTACAGCATTGAGAATGAAACTTTACAGGTAAACCTTTCTAACTAAACTTTGCAAATATGACACAGCAATCAAAATAACATTCATTCAGTTTGTAGCAAAAAATTTAGTACAATTTATATTTATTTTATATCTTAAAAAATGCTAATCAAAATTAACTCATAAAAAGACAGAAGTCTGCATTTTGAACTGCGAAACTTTTACTCATTTTATTTTATTCTGTTAAAGAACTGACAGTAAGAGTGACTGTAAGCAATCACGATTTGGATGCTGTGCTTTTTTTGATATTTTGACCAGAAAAAATGCATCAAAAATGCACTAAATTTTCTAAGTATCTTTGCAGGTACAATAAAAAACCTGATTCCTATATAATATGATTTAACTTTGAACCATAGATAAATAAATAGATAGATAGATAGATAAATAGATAGATAGATGGATAGATAGATTCCCATTTAATATTCTTTAAATGGCATAAATATTGCGATTTATTGCATACAAAAGTATTACATTTAGTCGCCATTTGGTAATCAAATGATATTTTTAAGGTAAATATAATATGTTGTCGAGATCTACCAGAACTCGTGATTACATCTGATGGTCAGTGTTTGCTAGAGCCATACGTGAAGCTACAATTGCTACCAGAAAAACAACATCGCGTGAAGACACGACTTGTTCGAGCATCTCGTAATCCACAATATGATGAGGCGTTTTCTATGTACGGAATCCATACATCCCAACTTGTCACCACAAGTTTGCACTTCGCGGTTAGATTATTTTTGATACAAATTTAACTATCAATATTTCTTCTCAAATATTCCAAAAACAGTACATATATTTCTGGAAATTTTTTCTTCAACTTGCGATATTTCTTCGTTTTATTTTGCTGCAACTTTCCAGCATTTTGAATGCGTGTTATACAGAATTATTAGCGTTAAAGTTTTTGTTTTTTAATCGCACAAAAATTCGTATATATTTTCGAATTAATTTACGAACAAAATACTGAATTTAATTGTAAGTAAAATTTTTCGCATTTAGAATTCAAATCCTTAGAACTGTTCTAATTGTTGCGATTACATTAAACCAAAGTATGCGAATTTATTTAGGTA